TACAGCAAAGAGAAAGAGAGGCAGTTACCCAAGTGATCTGGAGGAACGCGAGAATATTTCCTCATCGCTTCTCTTTCGGCCTGGCCTGACAGAAAAAATCGAGCTCGATCCGATAGCTCGGACTCGTGCGTCAGTTATTTTCTCTCGGCCAGCTCGGATTCGAAGCTGTCAAGCGTCGGCTGAGGTCGTAAAGTGAAACCTGCGAACCACTGTCTCGTTTTCAGGCCATGCGATCTTTCAACCACATGCTTTCGATTCTGCTCGTTCGCCAAGGCTAGACCGGAGGTCATCTTTCAGAAGTCGAACAAACTCGCCCTATGGACTACGCTTTGTCTCTGGGCACGACAAGACCTGCATGCGAAGTTTCGCGTTTCGCGCAGCTTCGTGGGGGACGAGCTCACATCCATCGTTGAGAGAGAGAGCTATCCTTCCGGAACGCTTGTTCCGCCACAACTCTTCCAACGAAGTATCGGCGAGATTCGGAGCTATCCTACGGACACGATTTTTATTTACAGAACGAACTCGTGGCAGGTCTTCAGCTCCAACTCATTGAATGCGAAAGTAAGTGGCCCATTAAAGTATCTCCATGGGTTTCGGTTGGTGAATGGCGTCGAGTGGTACCAGAAGCTCTGCTTGACCGAGGCACGCGGTTAATACACTGAAATAATTATTTTTTTCCAGCGGCCGTGGCGGTAAAATGTTCCTCCTCTCATTTGGGACTGATACCTGACGAAACTGATTGAGAATTTTGAGACTACCCATTCTTCGTAGCCTTCGGAACCGCGGGTAGGAACCGAGAAAACCGGTCAGCTCCGGACCCGAGAGAATCGGCTGAAACCCGCGGTTCAAGAACCTCGGCTAGGAACCGCTCTGAGCCCTAGTAGAGACGGAGAAAAAAAATAGGAGAACCTTCGCCGCCGGAGCTGCAAGAAAGTACCTCCCGTCGGCGATCCATTCGAGAGCGATAATTCCCATCGCTTTCATTTGCAGACCGGCCGCATTCTGCAGCACATGATAGATCATTCGGGTCTGGTGTCTCGAGATATCTTGGCGTGTTTCGTGGCCATGGATGACCGCAAAACTGATAAAGTCCACCCGGTACTGGATAGCATAGGCCTCCAGTTCTTATTGAACACGGTCTGCGATTTCTGAAAGATCTAGAGTCACTTCGCGACGTCTACGGCGTCTCCAGCTCTGGCATCGAGGGAAGTCGTAGACGGCTCTGTGAAGTGCACCAAGAAGAAGTTCTCGGCGACGGCAAAGGTCGTCTAATTGTTTAAAAATGAGCTCAATGTCGACGAGATTTGAAAGGAAATTACACGTTTGTATTGTCTGACTTATTTTAATCTTGGATTGAAGGGATATTCTGTCTCCTACCAGAGTGACCGAACATGGAACGAATACGGAATTAGTGGAGTCACCTCTGAAATCGTTCGATCATCAGATTCGGGCCAAACTGGAATCTGAAAATGGTAAACTCATCCGGGGATTCGTGCCCTGTGGGAGTTTCTCGAGATCGATTCCGAGAAATCATACGATGACTCGATGGAGGATACTACGCTCGCCGATGTATATATAAGCATGCCATGTAGTCATCTACAGATTCTGTAAAGTTGGACACCATCCGTGAGGTTTTGAAATGCAACGATCGTTGGTTCAGAAGGAATTTAGGCGTTGAACAGCTCGTTACATCCGCTCAACCAGGACTCACAGGATACCGCGAACTGACGCTTAAAGTTTCGTGCTCCAACGAAAGTCTACCACGAAACCTCACTATCGACCCTCTCCGGAGCTATTCACTGTGGAAGGCCGGCTGTGTTGACAGATTCGAGTCTTTGAAAGGTACCTTCTTCTACGCATCTGCCCGTTCCTTCTGCTCTCTCATGGAGCCTATCGGCTGATGATATGTGTGACTTGGCGAAGTTTCATTGGCTTCAATTCCATTCTTGAATCGCAGGGGTCAACCCTCAGATAAACAGCGTCGCCGAAGTCCTCTCGGAATCAAACTTCTGCGTCCTGCTGTGGCAACACCCTGGTCTGATTTCGAAAGATGAGAACGAGGAGGCGAAAGAAACCGAAATTCTCCGCAGCCTTTTTCAACTATCGAAAATACCGGACGATGAACATTGGCAGAAATTGACAAATTTCTGAACGGAACAATCTGACTAACGATAATCGCCTCATTGAAGGCAATACCTGCTTATCGGTCAAGCAATAGATGAATTGGAACGGATGGTCATTCAGAATCGATCTAATGAATTCGAACTCTGTTATGGGAAAGCACCATTGGAGACACTCGATATCTATGTCCCGGCGATCGCGAATATGCCGCAAATTTTCGTTGATGAAGGTTCGATTCGCATTGCGATCTGAACCTCCGAATTCAATCAGTTTAGAACCTCCATCGGAATCATTCCTGTGAGCCAGTAAGGAGAAGAGAGGAGGACACTCCGGTCCTGGAGAATGAATAAAATAATCGGTATGAAATCGGAAAGTCCGCTTGTTTTGGAGCCGTTGAGAGTTGCGATATCGCAAAAGAAATGAGAGAGCAGAACATCGTGGGCGAGCTCATGAGCTCCCCGGCGTTCCGAAATTTATGAATCAAGAATCTAGACTCCCTGGAATCTAGAAGGAGTCGCGCGGAAGAGAGCAATAGATCTTGAATTAGGGTGCTCGTCTATAACGGCAGGTCCGTCATTCCGATGAAAAAAGCCGGGTGCCGTAAAGTTTGGACGCGATTTCCTTGGCACACACTGTTACGTCTTTTATCTTGGCATTATGCTTGCGCCAAGATTGCGGCGGTGTAAGCGCCCTTGTTCGCCAGGTCATTATGAGCAATACTGGAATTCGCGCCTCCAGGACTCTGGAGGAGATCACGATGCCCTTTGAAGCGTGTTCCAGAGCTCTGTCCGCTCATTCCAGTCATCCACAGCACCCGTGAGGGTCGGTATAAAGCATTAGGTTCGATGTAGAGATGCCATGGAAGAGAGACCGCGGAGATGGAGCCCTATTTCACGCGCCGTACCAACGTAGAAGGGTACCAACTTGTTCATGGATTTGCCGGCTAAGACGGCAAAGACACGATTTTCTCTCCGAGTATAGAGAACGTTCGCCGAGCAGCTATATCGAAATTCTTCCTCGAAGTCTCTCGTGACTCACCAACTCCTATTCGACACGTATTTGGCTTTCGTACCTCACTTTCACTAGCGTTTCGGTACTGCTGCGGAATTATTCGCGATACAACTTTTCAATGACATTGACGATGTACATTCAACACTTATAATCATGGTTATCGTGGTCGAATCGATTGTGGTTGTAATATAACGGTGGTGGGCATCGTCTCGTCTTAAGTAAGAGCCAATAAAAAATTCTAATAAAATTCCACGCGCTTCTGTAGCGACAGCCGGTCTGGCTCGCTGCCTGTCAGCCAGTCGAAGGAAGGAACGAACGAGCAAGCGAGCGAACCCGGGGGACGGAGAGGTAGAAAGTAGAAGGAGCCGGAGGGAATACTAGATGGCTATCCGGTCACTCTACTCCCAATATGCCACGCACGGCGACATAAACGACGTATTAATTGACGGCGATGCTCAGAGCCGTCAGAACTGTGCCATGAAAACGTATTTTGATGCTGCCTCGTGGTCGCAGATAGCTGTCCGGCGGATACCATTACCGGGTACAAATATCTCATGCCACACACCTCTACTACGAAACCATATATACGCATCGACGACGAGCATAGAGCAGACGGATACGACACGCAGACCGAACGGCTGACTGACTAACGCACGACTGGACGACGAACGCACAGACAGACAAACCGATCGACCGACCGACCGATGCACGGACGGAGAGACAGAGGCACAGACCGACGGAGTGACGGACAGAGCGACCGACTGAGCTGAGGACAGACGCATAGACCGACGGGCGTACACCCTCCCCGGACATACATACTCATCAGATACATATATACATATATATGTAGACGGGATATATATGTCCCTAAGCCACGCCTCCTGGACCAATGGCGAGGGGAGAGGCGGCGCTCCGGCCGCCGCTGTTCAGTCGTCGCGCTCGTCGCCAGGACTCGAACAGAACACAAACTATGATTTTATGCCGCCACAGCCGCTGTGATTCCTGTGCTAGAAAATAATTTGTGTGTGTCGTCCTTCTAATTCGATACGCAGCAGCGACTACTACTACTACCGCTGCTGCCCTCGCTAGTGGTTTGCTGTTAGTTCAGGATGGGCAGTTGTCCTGGCGGTGGAATTCTTTCCCGAAACGATCTTTCGGTGTGGCGGAACGATCAACTCAAGCTTCTAGTGAACGACGAGCAGTGAAAACGACCCACCCGGAGAAGCTACGCCGGTCTCGGCTGTCTTCATGGATCTCCGAGTCGACTGAGCGACCCAAAGTGCTTCGAGGCAGCGTTTCGCGACCCTATCCGAGCGCAAAGTCGCGGATGCTCTGACCGCGGTTTCTCGAGCCCGATCATCTCCCAGAGGGGAACTAGAGCGATCGAAACAGAGATCGAGCCTGGAATTTCGTCCTTTGTGTTTTTGGAGCTTTTATCCATTGCAATACAGAGTTTCCGATCGAAACTGCAAGGCGAAGAGACCAAGCGTCGGAACGCGAGAGGGAAAAATACGAGGATTCTGCATCGCAGGGAAAATTGTGGAAAATTCTTCTGATTCCGTTCAAGACACCACAAATCAGCCGTACGAGAGTGTCTCTCAGCGTGTCTCTTCGCCCCCTGCGCCTCCTCTTGGGAGAATTTCCGTAATCGGAATTGGAGTAGTTCGGCGCTCTGAGTCTCGGAGAATTCGTCTGCTCGCTGGCTCTCCTGCCTTTTTGGCGAAAGAAGTCTTCAACTCTATCTGAATCAGGAGGACTGGGCATTGAGAGGAGTGTTCTGCTAGAACTTCCGAATGTTACTCGAGGAGTAGGGAGAGTGAAACGAAAAAGGTGCATAGGGATCCCAAGAAAACCGATTTCGACTGAATCGAAGCACGAAGGAAGACGACAGCAGGGAAAGAATTATTCGCGACTAGTTTCGTTGACTCGGTTCTCGTGATAGCGAGTGATTTGTACAGGCTATACCGCCGTTGCTTTTCGTGTCATCTGGTTTAAGGAATCATCTGGCCAATCATCATCTGGATGTATGTGAGTATAGCGAAGTCATTGCTTTGATCCGCAGCGATTCTGCCGCGGGAGACATGCAAATCCCTACCGATTTCAGAGGCTTGCTTTATCGATCATTGGAGTATTCCTCTCCCCTAGCGTTCCCCATGATCTCCCGGCACGGATTTCCCCGTCCGGAGCAGTCCACGTCGATCCTGGCTTCTGACAGAGATTCGGGGGAGTAACTCCGAATCTCGAAAATCCAAGCCACTCAGTGAACAAGCCACCCCAATGTCCGATATCGTTCATCAGGCCAGTTCCGAGGCCGAATCCGAGGACTTAGAGGGTTCGCATTCCCTGCGATGGGATTTCCGTCGGGAGCATGTCCTCGAAAGCTTCCTCAGTACGGCGGGTCCGAGAAACTCGCGGTGGGAGCGCGGGGCTCTACCAGTATCAAGGAGAAAAAGCCTGGTGCGCGGCGACACCTTCTCTCCAAGGTTTTCATTCATCAAATCAAAAACCAAGGGCAGCAGGTTCTTCGGAAGCGATCCCCGGGATATTCCTCGTAGTTTCGGCGTTGAACTCCGTCCTCTACAGAGCATCCAACATTCGTGCGGCGAGTGTGGTAGCTATTATATTTTTCCGGACACGGGATCTCCGGCTCTCAGCCGGACGACACGGACTCACCAAAACCCGTTCCCCATTCCCAAACAAGCCATTGCCATAGTACCGCACAGATGAAGAAGATGTTCTTCGAAGTAGCGATTCTTCGGTTCGTGCGAAGTCGGTCTCGAACAGCAGAGAGTCTAAAGGGAGGGAAGAGGGAGGTTAGGGGTAACGGCCGGATACTTAGAGGGAAAGAAAGCAATGGGGCTTGTGGCATATCGCTCTCTCTAGCGATTCGAGCTGAACGAGCGCGACGTTTATCTCTCGCGGCTGAACGATTATTCATTGCCCTTGTCCAAGATTAGCGTTGGAGCTCCTTCCGGTTCAGGAGCTTTCACTTAATTCCAGCTGCGCAGGTCGTCCATCTTCTACTAGTTCAGTCCTGTGGGCTTTTTCGCATGCCGAAAGTGGAAGTCCACCGAGGAACGACATTCCCCCGGAGATGGTCACGGTGCAGTCGACGCTCAGTCGCCAGTTTCCCTCGCGTTATGAGCCCGCAATCGCCAAAATTGAAGGCGGTCGATTGATTAATGAAATTATAAGAAGGCCTCCCGACTTCTTTTTCCTGGAGGCTGGTCTCTCATTCGGGCAGCGAGCAATTTCGTTAATGGATGTTTATGCGAACAAGAAGACCGACCGGTCCCACGCTGTCTTTGTTGGCTCGACCAGTGACTAGCTGCTTAGTTTTGGTTCGCATATCTGTCGGTCCGCCACTCGGTCGCTCCTTTCTCCTGTTCGAGGCTGCCTGTCGCGCATCAGGCCTCAAGGCAGGCTCCGAAACGGGCCCCATTTTATTACGAGTCGTACGTTCGTTCGTCCATCCGTCTACGAATCGGTCCGTCTTGCTGACTGCTTGGTCGGCTCGATGGCTAGTGTTGGTCGGTCGGTCGGTCGGTCGGTCGGTCGGTGGCTTGCTCGCTCCGTTTGCTCGTCGTCCAGTTAGTCAGCGAACAGCAAAGTCTTCAGACAAATCCCCGTCGAGAAAACTCGTCCCACGGTCGGTCGTCGGTTGGACGACGAACCAAGCGGGTTAGCTTACCATAAGAAGAGCAGCGGCAGCAGCAGCAGCAGCGAGCGGCCGCTCTTCGTTTCTTTCCTTCGCATAAGGAAGAATTCGAGAGGCGGTCTTCGTTCGTGCTCGCGGGTTTGCCGGCGAACTTGCTTGTCTGCCTGCTCGTCTCACGGCTTGCCGGTCGGTCGATCGGTCGGTCCGTCGGGCGATCGCCTGTCGATCCTCTCGATTCTGGTTGGTCCGTTGGTCGGCTCCACGGCCCCGAGAAGCTGGTCTGAGATCAGTTCGAGAACAGCGGGGATTCTCTGATGAATGTCTTTGAATAAGTCTCCGAAACGAGCGCCTTATGTCACAGTCAACAAAGCCGGCTTTCTCTATTGGTGGACTTCGACCCGAGAGAGAATCGATTCGGAGCTCGCAAGTCAAATTCTGACTCACAACGGCGTTCTTTCCTCTCATGAATGGAAGACGGGGCGTGCTGGAGACTCATTCCCCCCGTAGGAGAATCATTCATGGGAACATTACCTGATTGGAGATCACTTTTGACGTCTACGTGTAATGTCTCACTCGGGTCGCCTAGATAGTCGACCCGTGAGATTTCTTCAGAAACAGCGACGGAGGAAGCGAATATTTTTGCTCAAAGAGAAATTTATCGCTCATTCCATTCGTAGAAGGTACCCGCACAACTAATGGCAAGGGGGACAGCAGCCACCGACAAACGCATCATATGTTATTCTGGCAGCGGGAATTCTCGTGTTGTCTTAATACAGGCTCTTTCAACAAGGTAGTTTTTGTCGCCTTCTGGCTTCCCTCCTCAAAGCCCCTCGGACCTTCTGGTCGGACTGCTCGGCGACTCGCTGCACTGCGGACCTCCTATACTCCACGTCACAGGAAGCGAGCGGGAAAATGCTTCAGACACCCTCCGATCCTTCCTTCCGCGAGATGCATGGAGGATGTAAGTGCTGCGGAAACCTCACAAGGCTTTGACGCGTGAACGAGCCAGCCAGCCAGTCAGTCGCCGGACAGTCGACGCGACGGTGGGATCTAGCGCAAAGAGTGTTTACGAACCCCTGAAACAATCCACGTTGTTGCAGTCACGTGCGGACGGAGGGAATCAGCTGACTTACCAGACTCTGGGGTTAGATACGGTGAGTAGTGGTCATGATGGCCGCGGTGGTGGTAGCCGTCGCCGCAGCAGCGGCCCAGGGCTCATAAAGACGTCTATTAAACTTTATGGCAACTACAAACCCCTGACGGCCAGTCGGGCTGTAACAACACAGAAAGCGAAATTCTAAATATTTCCCCGCATCGACAATTCGTCCTGTTGTTTGTAGAAAGCAAGTCTCGTTGAGACCAATAAGTTCAGCGCCGTCGAAGACCATCTTGCCGTACTGTTCTCGAGCCGCTGTAGAAAAATTAGTATCGCGTTCCCTGATCATACTGCGGGACAGTCCTTGTACGCAGGGAAGTGGGGATCGCTGTCGAATTTCAAATGATCTGTGCATGTACATGTTCCGACGTTTCCTTGTTGCCTTCCGAAATTGCGGTCTCTAGCGCAGAGTGGTCTAGGATTTTCCTCCGGAAGGAGCGCCTTGAGCCAACGTGAGTTCGGAAAAGCGAGAAAAGGGAGCTCGGTCCCGATCTCTCCATGCTCAAGATCAACGCAGACGTTTGTCACTCTTCCGGACTGTCTCACGATGTCGTGTATTGATTGGCACACGACCTGCTTGTCAGCTGTCTCATCGATCTCTGAACAAGAGAGTCAAGTGCCGGCCATGCTGTGCACGACGGCTCATCTTTTCTTCCTCCTGCTACTCCCACAAGGATTATGCCGCAATCTACGGGCTATCAGCGAGATCAGCTTGTCCCCATAATTCCCAACGCATTTGAGGCTCATAACTCGCTCGAAAATTCGCGCTCGCTCCCCGCAAATGTCAATCTAACATTCCATCGAATCCAGATATTTCGCTTCAGGGGCGTCCTCCGCGACCTCCGGAGTCTCGAAAGAAGTAGAAAATTCACGCTTAATCATATTCTCCCTTGCTTCTTTCTCACGAAAGCACTGGTTGCTTATCGACTTCGCCTCGGTATCGCGGAAAGACGCCTCTCGCGAGGATTAGCGCTCGTACAGAGGAATGTACAACGGCATTAACGTACTTCAGCCTGGTTTCGAAACATTGTTTCAGCCGCAGAACCGGGGATCCAGAACGACTCTGATGTCACCTGGAATTTTATGTTCCCCAGGCTTCGGAAAACGAGCGAGCCTGTTCCGAGAAATTGAATCTGTGCGCGAGTCAAAGCCGCTATAACAACTTCGTGATATCAGCAATGTCATGCGCGGCCGCTCCATCAGCACCGAACACGGGATCAACAACGAGAGCCTTCTTATTCCGCAAATATGTCTGGACGTGGCTTTATTTGCGGAGATCTCGAGACATCGCCTGTGGTCGTGGTGTGCTGCGATTTCAACCCAGCGCTTGATCCTGGAATTTTCCAAGTTACCAAGTGGTCAAACGAAATCCTCATTCCCTCCGTGTGCAGCGGCCGGTCGGCGAGCGCTGCTGCTGACGTGGCCTCATCGAAACGGTTGCGTGTTACTACGTAACGTCGGCATCCCAGAAAGAGATTGAAACCGACTCGAATCACAGGGCGTCGAGCGACTCCTTCGGGCTGTAAAGGGGCGATGACGCTGCGTTGAGTCCTTTCAGCACTATAACCAGAGCCAACGAAAAAAACAACTGTAGGGTTCGAGCAAACAGCAGCTCAACCGCTTGTCGCTGCTCCTACTACAACAACAACAAACCTCAAATCGCTTTCGAGCTCGTCACACAAATATTCTTCCGCAGCAAAAGGAACCACGACTGCTGTAGCTGGTGAACGAAAGAAGAAAAGACTGGCGAAAGCTAACGAAGGAGCCGAAAGCGAACGAAAACTTGAAACATCCTTTAGAATAACAGTTGGTCAACGAAGCGTTCCTCGAGAGGGAATCCCGGAGCAGGGTGGGAGGTATCGAACGAACGAAGCGATGGTCGCTCGGCAGAATGGACCTACGGATGGATGAATGTTCTTTCACACCACACTCAGAGGGAAGATGACCTTTGGAGAACTGTTGGCCACCTGAATGCAGAGGGAGGAAGCGAAGACGACGGCTACTGCGGCCGCAACCACAAAAGTCCAGCAGCATCTTCAGTGATTAAGAACTAAAGAGACGACGCCTCGAACTTGCGAGTCGAATCAGCTGCAGACGCCGGGCTTTATCGTATTCTGGAGCCGACACTTTTCGGCCGCAGGAATTCTGAGCGGAACATGGCTTCTAGCGATAATCGTGAATCATGAATTTGAAGATTCAGTCCCGTGCCGTTAT